CGCACCGGCGCTGGCGCCGGGCCCCGACGTGCCGGGTCGTGCCCGAGCAAGGCATCAGGCTGCGTCTAATTCCTGGCCTCCGCGGCGTTGCAGGGTGCTTGCAGAGCGTGGGGCAGGCTGTGCTGGTGTTGCTAGAGCGAGAGCCGCATGGAGCAAAGGTAAGAGCGAAGTGCCCTCCCCAGTCACCGGCTGCTGCTGGGTGCACTGGTCGGCACGCGGGCAGGGTGCTCGCCCCGGCTGGGAGTCGCAGTCTGGACGTGGCTGCAGTGTCAGAGCTCTTTCTCCTGCCCCCAGACTCCCTCCTGGCTCCTGGCAGCCCTGGGAGGACTCTTGGTCTGACTGATCCCCCTGATGCCGTGGTGAGCCCCCTGCAGTGCTGCTCGTTGCCCTTGGCCTGGTGCTCCCAGCAGGGGAGGGGGCTCAGCCAGACCTGGCACAGTGTACTACTGTACTACCCATGGCCCTGGTCCACGGCAGCACCCGGCACAGGATGGCACCAGCTCTCACTGCCTGTGAGCGAGAGAAATCCTGGAAACCCACGTTTTAGCCGGAGAGCTTGTCCCAGCACCGGCGGCTCCACCACGTGCTCCTCCACTTACCCAAGCCGCTGCCAGCCCCCAGCGTTTAGTTTGCCGTGGGCTTTGCTTCTTGCCTCCTGGTTATTCATCTCTTGGATAATGTTTGTCTTGCCCAGAATTTCCCATCCCCAGGAGAGCCCTCGCCCCTGGCTGCCCTCCGTGGCCGGCTGGACTGTGACGGCCCTGTGGCCAGTTCAGGGACACTGGGGAAGGTTTCATGGCTGCTGGCGGCAGCATCCCTGCGCTGAACAGGGGCTGGGGCCGTTGTGAAAACCCCTTTCCCTTTGCTTTGCCAGTGCCATGGCTCAGCCCAAGGGCACCGTGGTCCTGGCCTACAGCGGGGGCCTCGACACCTCCTGCATCCTGGTGTGGCTGAAGGAGCAGGGCTACGACGTCGTCGCCTACTTGGTGAGCCCTGCGCCGAGCCCTGCCCCACGGACCCTGTCCCCGGGGGCTGGGAAGGGAGGGGGAGCTGGGTCTGGGGACCTGGGTGTGTGGCGGGGGTCCTGGTGTGTGCGTGGCCATGGTGGTGACTCTGCTTTTGCTGGTTAACCGGCGCTCAGCCCGGGTGCTGCTCTGCTCCAGTCCTGCCCAGCACAGTCTGTGCCTGCCAGCAAATGACCCTCTGCTAATGAGGGCAGCGTGCTGGGGAAGAGCCAAGTGAGTTAGGTCCCTGAGGTGTGCCATTTTGGGGGGGGAGCCCCAAGGTTTGCCATCCGGGGGAGGGAAGGAACCCTCTCCTGCCCATCCTGAGTGGCCTCAAGCCTGGCCAGCGCGGGCTCTGCTGTGATTTGCATGATACCCTGTGCCAAGCTGGGCTTGCACTGGCTGGGTTTTGTGGTCTCCTTGCAAAACCAGTCTTGGGTTTTTTCCCCACTTTCAGGCCAACATTGGGCAGAAGGAAGATTTCGAGGCAGCACGAAAGAAGGCGCTGGCACTGGGGGCTAAGAAGGTAACAGCGTCCCTCGCTCCGGGTCCCCAGCGGGCTCTGAGCTCCCCCTGCTCCCTGCTGTGGGGCTGAGCCCTGGGATCTCACACACCCCTTGGTTGGGGTCACCATGGATGGTGGGACAGTGCTAGTGAGGAATCCCTTTTCCAGAGGTTTTGCACCAAAGCAGCAACTAGGAAAGGGGAGGCGAAGAGACCCTTCACTGCCCCGTCCCCAAAGCCCCGAGGAGTGGGATCCCCCTCCCGTCACAAGGGTCGCTCTGTCCCGGCAGGTTTACATCGAGGACATCAGCAAGGAGTTCGTGGAGGAGTTCATCTGGCCGGCGGTGCAGGCCAACGCTCTCTACGAGGACCGGTACCTGCTGGGCACCGCGCTGGCCCGGCCCTGCATCGCCCGCAACCTGGTGGAGATCGCCCAGGCGGAGCGAGC